GGAATTCCGTGACCTAATAAGGTTGGCAATTAAAACATTTCCCTTAATCTCTCTATTAGAAGAAGACTGGCCTTAGAAGGGTAGATCTGAGAGGGACAAGGGGGAACATCCTTCTGATTCCAAATCAATCCAAGCTGATTTTAGAGTCTTGGTTAATTTATTCAGAATTAGCTTGAAGTTGTGAAGACAAGTGCTAATACTGGAAGTTGGATACAGCCAGGCCTCCTTTACTTATAGGGATTTGAGGTTTATCAAATCTGAATTTAGGTCTCTTATTATTCCACATAAATTTTGAGACAATCCGGTGGAATGTTTTTTAAAAATTTTCCCAGACAAATTAATTAATCATTAGGGTACAGTAAACAAGGAAGTATGTTCATTTTTATCACTGCAATGCATCTTCAAAAGGAAATTGATAATGACAATCATCTGTCATGGCTCAGAATAGGACCCAAACGCAAGAGATGCAGTTAACAATGTTTAATGGGCAGAGGGGCAAAATCCAAAACCATGGTCAAAAACAGGCAAAGGTCAAAACCAGGAAAGCTCAGCAGCAGTACAAAATCACAGTCCACAAGAATTGTCAAAGAAACAGGCAACTGGGTCGTTAACAAGCAGACTTGGCAAAGGCACAAAAACGACAGGCAGGAATCAAAAAACCAGAAAACAGACAAAGTAGTAACGGGCAGACAGGCAGGATAAGAATGCTCATAGCGTACACAGTGAGTAACTAGCTGCTTATATCCAGAAAAACTACTTAAGTCTCTTATCAGATCAAGAACAGCAGGTAAAGAAACATGGGGCTTATTTTAAATTAATAGTACATACTTCAGCATACTGTGATAGTTTGTGATCATTATCTTTTGTCTTAACATCATAGATGCATTGGATTACTACGAATTGCCACCGCTAAAGGTTCCATTGCTAATGCAAAAAGTAAAGGGGATCAGGGGCATCCTTCACAGGCACCTCTTTGTAAATGAAATGAGTCTGATAATACTCCATTTACCAATACAGAGGGTCATTGTTTTCAATGAGAACATAGCTTTTTTGAGTGCCTATAAAATATGCCAGGAGCACAAGAAGGAGGGTGGAGAAGACCTTGTGGTGACTGGCGAGGGTTCTTGTTTAGTGCACCCACATTGCAGACTGACACAAAGGACTTGAAATCAGGAATCATGGTGGGCCACCAGAAACGCATCCTGATGAATCCTAGGGTCCTGATAGCTACTTAGTGAGCCAAAAGCTGAGAAGAGTGACCCCACTGCAGGACTTGAGAGCAGACTTGACTAGGAACAAAGAGGCTACCTCTGGGTCCAGAGCCTGGGTTGGGTTCCCACTGGACAGCCTGCTATACCACAGTTTCAATCTCCCTACAAATAGGAGCCACAATCCCGGAGGTAGGAATAATAGGAGCGGGGTCTTTTTCTTGGATGGAGATCTGGACGCAACGAGACAGGGCATCAGGTTTTTGGTGCTTCGTACCAGATCGAAAAGACAGAGTAAATTTGAAGCAATTGAAGAAAAGGGCCCATCTGGCTTGACGAGGGTTGAGCCTCTTAGCTTTCTGGATGTACTGCAAGTTTTTATAGTCTGTCCAAACAAGAAAAGATTGTTGGACCAATGCCGCCTTTCCTCTAGTGTCAGCTTAACCACTAGCAATTCTCTGTCGCCCACATCATAGCTCCTTTTCGCAGGGGTGATACGGTGGGAATAGAAGGCACAGGGGTGCAACTTTTTGTCTGGCACCCTCTGAGACAGAATAGCACCTACCCAAATATCCGAGGCATCCACCTCCAAAATGAATGGGCATGAAGGATCAGGCAGAGTCAGTACAGGGGCAGAAGTGAAATGTCTCCTGAATTCTTGAAAGGCTCCATCAGTTTCCGAAGTCCAAGTGAATCTGTCCTTACCTCTACCATTAGTTAGGGCTGAGGCATTAGTGAGTTCTGCATTAGTGTGCTCTAGTAGTGTGCTTTTTTATGGTTAAGGTTAGTTTGAAATGGGGGAGATGTGAGTGACGGCGGGGGCTGCATGCCTGGGACCGTGTCGGCAGCCAGAGGAGCGAGGGACGAGGAGGGGAGACCGCAACAAGAAAGAGTGAGAGGAGAGAAGAGCCAGTGACAGAGCTGAGAACCCTGGGCTGGGCAGGAAGCGAGTGGGGGCGGAGCCCCAGGGGCAAGAGGAATGTGTCCTGCCAAAATAAGAGCACAGCATTCGTGAGACTACCCTGCCCAGTCCACAGAGGGGTAATTGGTGTCGTATCTTCTCTCTTCCTTAGCCTGCTCCACTCCAGGCTCAACTTTCACTACTTATTCTACAACTTTCAGTTACAGTTCACCAGACCATAAACAACATCTAATAAAGTGCAGACCTTCCCACCTACCAAGGGATTTTAGAACTGTTGTGACAATGGCAATCTATATTCCAACTGAACATAGCATTAGTGCAGCTATACAATGTAATATTATACAATGGCAAACAACAATCGACACACCTTTGCAGTGCCTTTGTGGTTGCTGGAGATTTTAACCAAGTCAGTCTCAAGATGGTTCTAACTATATTCTACCAGAAGGAGATGTATCATCCAAGAAGCTGGAATATTTGGGACAAGGTCTACACCAACATCAAGGACGTATACATCTTTGCAGTACCTGTAGCATTTTCACCCATCGTTATGAAGTGCCTAGAAAGACACTAGTTACGGAGCACATGAAGAACATCCCACCCATATCCCTCCCTCCCACCCTTGACCAGCATCATCCCCTACTGGCCAAACAGATCAACTGATGACACCATTTTCATTGCCCTACACATTGTGCTGACCCACTTACAACACCAAAACTAATGAGTCAGAATGCTCTTCACAGATGACAGCTCCTCTTTCAATTCAGCGGGTAAAATAAGTATTGTACACGTCACCTTTTTTTTCAGTAAATACATTTCTAAAGGTGCTATTGTCATTTCAGCAGATGTCAGTAACAACCCATGCAATCCACACATGCAAAGAAACCAAACTAAATTTCATAAATTGAAGTTATGTGTAATAAAATGGAATGACACAGGGAAAAAGTATTGAACACGCTTACTGAAATTTATTTAATACTTTGTACAAAAGCCTTTGTTGGTAATGACAGCTTCAAGACACCTCCTGTATGGAGAAACTAGTCACATGCATTGCTCAGTTGTGATTTTGGCCCATTCTTCTGCATAAACAGTCTTCAAATCCATGGGCCTCTTCTATGAACTCTGATCTTTAGGTCCTTCCATAGATTTTCTATTGGATCAGGTGATTGGCTGAAACCAATTGAGAGTTTCCTTGGCTGTGTGTTTGGGATCATTGTCTTGCTGAAATGTCCATCCTTGTTTCATCTTCATCATCCTGGTAGATGGCAGCAGATTTTTATCAAGAATGTCTCTGTACATTTTTCCATTCATCCTTCCTTCAATTATATGTTTGCCTGTGCCGTATGCTCAAAAACAGCCCCACACCATGATGTTCCCACCTCCAAACTTCACTGTTGGTATGGTGGTTTTGGGGTGACGTGCAGTGCCATTTGACCTCCAAACATGGTGTGTATTATGGCATCCAAAGAGTTAAATTTTGGTCTCATCTGACCAGACTATATTCTCCCAGTATTTCACAAGCTTGTCTAAATGTTGTGCAGCAAACTTTAAGCGTGCTTCAACATGCTTTTTCTTCAGCAATGGAGTCTTGCGCGATGAGCGTGCATACAGGCCATGGCGGTTGAGTGCATTGCTTATTGTTTTCTTTGAAACAATTGTACCTGCTAATTCCAGGTCTTTCTGAAGCTCTCTACAAGTGGTCCTTGGCTCTTGGACAACTCTTCTGATAATTCTTTTCACTCCTCTGTCAGAAATCTTGCGAGAAGCACCTAGTGGTGGCTGGTTCATGGTGAAATGATGTTCTTTCCACTTCCAGATTATGGCCCCAACAGTGCTCACTGGAACATTCAGAAGTTTAGAAATCCTTCTGTAACCAATGCCATCAGTATGTTTTGCAACAAAAAGGTTGCAAAGGTCTTGCGAGAGCTCTTTAGTTTTACCCATCATGAGCTGTTTCTTGTGTGACACCTTGGTAATGAGACATCAGTTGGGACTGAACCAGTTGATATTAATTTGCACTGAGAAGTGGCAGGATTGCTTTCTAATTACTGATAGCTTTCAGCTGATGTCTTGGCTTTCCATGCCTTTTTGCATTTCCCTGTTGACATGTGTTCAATACTTTTTCCTTGTGTCATTTCACATTTTTACACACAACTTTCATTTCTGAAAATATTTATTTTTATTTCTTCACATGTGTGGATTGCATGGGTTGTTACTGACGTCTGGTGAAAATTTCATGTCAATAGCACCTTTAGAAATATACTTACTGAGAATAATGGTGATGTGTTCAATACTTATTTTACCCATTGTACCATAATCCCCTGCAAACTAACCACTAAACTCTGCACAGCCCTGGTCTTAGCAAAACAAACCTGCAACTGGGTCCTGGACTTCTTAATAGACCGTCCCCAGTCAGTCAGACTTGGGCACTCATCCTCAGCTCTGACCCTGACAGTGTTATGCCTATTTGCTCTGCTGCTCCATTTTATTACTTCTCATTTTAGCCTTGCATTCAAGGGCTTCCCAAAGACATGTAACTCTCACTACAGAGCGATCGCAGGTTAAAAATGTCCTTGTTTGTCTAGCTAGCTCTGTCAGTAGCGCATGAGACCCTTAATCCCTGGGTTGTGAGTTCAAGCCTCATGTTGGGTGATGAGTTTTCTGTGAGCTCAGTGGTGACATGGAAAGTGGGTAACAATGCTGAGTTATGCTAGAGAGTACAAGTGAGCCATGTCAAGCATGTAGGTACAAGAGATGTTTTGTCATGCCTCTGAGCAAGTACTGTGCATTTTTCCTCTCAATCAATTGGGGAATGCCATTTTTCCATCTGATCATTTTTATTTTTTATATTTCCAAAATGAAAAAAGAAAGGAGTTGTTGTGGGTTAGTTGATTAAACTACCTGGCTAATAAACAGGAGATCCTTGGTTCAAATCCCAACAGTGCCTGCATTCTTTTTTTTCTGCATAGTAGGTGCTTCACTTGGCCTTGTTGCCAGTATCCCACTGTATGTGACCTCTGCTCATGGCAGAGGGGGGAAGGAGAAATCTTGTCAATCACCAACCAAGCTCAGCTATTCATTCTTCCCAACGGCGATCAGCCTCTTTTCTTGTGTTCAGAACATCTGATACCATCAGGCAAGTCACTTGCGAGTTCTGTCCGCCTAGGCGTATGTCCCAAGTAGGCTGGCCTTCTGATTACGGAATCCCATTTTATTTGTAGCTTTCCTATATTTTTATTTTTTAGTCAAACACAGTCCAGATCCCATTAATTGGGAATCCATACTTTGTAGTCCCATTTGTAACCAAAAAGAACAACACACACGCACAGAAAACTCTTTTTCCCTCCTTTTGTCCTTCTTCCTCCCTGCCCAGGAGGTAGTGTTTTGTTATACTCCAATCCCCCATCAGGCTGACTCTTCAAGGGGTAGTGTCACATACCATATGCAGTTTTTTTTTACCAGTTCATCACTATGTATACTGTGAGTGGCACACACAGAAAAAAACAATCTCTGGAATCACCCAACACAATTTACTGTTTAGAAAGGTTTATCCTGCAAGCATCAAAATGCCTTGAACTGAGTGCTAAAAAGCCCAACAATGCAACACAGACAGTGGGTATGAACTGAGCACTCATGCAAACACATATTTTTCACACCTTCGATAGGTATGACTGGGCTCAGGGTTTGGTAGTGAATGGGAATTTTTTCCACCCCAAGAGCAAAGGTTATGTGGGCCCGAAGGGCAGTAGCCAGGGTTTGAAAAATAGTGAGGTCCAGGGTGGGGGTGGGGGGTTGCTTGTCAATCACACATTACATACAGGCGGCCTATTTACAAGAAATACATTCTTATTGGTGTTGAAAATCTGAACATACACCATAATACACACAAAACACACCATACATTATGTACAGTATGTGCCAAGAGCAAAAGTAATTTTAAACTTACAGTTTAAAAAACTTCCAGTTGAACAGTTAACAGCTCAGTGATAAAGTTACAGAGGGACGTGAGCTTCTTGGAGAAAATCAGTGGCCGGGTCCAAACTCTACTTGAACGGCCTTGGGGCCAAGTCCTAGCCAGCTTGGGTGCGTTCCAATTCTCAAAATTTGTATCCTCCCCTCCTCAATTACCACCTAGTCTCCTCCATGCCCTGGAAACTGATCTATGTGTCCCCCTTCCCTCCAATGTTCCAAAATCATAGGAGACGAAGGAGGCTACATTAGTTTCTTCCTCTCCTCCTACTAAGGATACATCGATGCATCCTACCGCCAGAGTGTTTTCACATTTCTTGGAGACAGCATTGAGCTCATGTCCAGTCAGATTAAAAGGCCATCCCAGAGGGAGAGAACCCCAGAAGAATAGTTCAAACCCCACCCACATAGTTTTAATTTCTGTTTGTCCATATTAGGGATTCCTCTGTGATAAATTTAGTAGTTATGAAACTAAAGAAAGAGAACATATTTTACAGTCATTATAGTAGTAGCTAGCCAGCCATTGGGTCGGTCATTTTGGATTGGAGCAAGGTTATGTCTCTGGATGACCTCATAGACCTCATATTTCATTTTATAATGTCTAAATGTTGTCATAAATTAAAGCAGTACCGGTCTATCGCTCTACTCTTGGTCAGTAAACAAAAGTGATTATTTGGCAAATTGTTCGATTTCCCTCTCTCTGGCATCCTCCCTCAGTAAAAATGAGAAGAACTCTTGGCGCGAGGTAGTGACCTTCAAGTTGGAGGTGGCAGTAATGGCGAACGTTATTTGGCAAGGTCAGTCAACACAGTCCACACTGCTACATTTCCTGTCTTCTGACTCCATGCTAAGAATATTCTTTTATGCAATTTGAATGAAGGAGGACATGACATGGGAAAAACTGTGAGATCTCAGCATATTTAATTTGTTTGTAACTGATTATATGTGGGTTTAAAGGGTCTCCCATCCAGGCAAGATTATTTTCCCTCCCCCAAACTGGAAAGCTACGAAAAGCTAATTGGAGGAGCTGGACATGAGGCCCCAAGTGCAGCATGTCTATGAGGTAGAGAGCAGAGGTGGAAAACCATGGCATCTGAAAGTAAAAGTACTATCATGTATTTGCTCCATCCATGCACAGCTGATTCTAATAGCACAGCTCATAGGTAAAATAAATACATGGTAACCCTGGTGAACATGTAGCATACTTAACAGACGTTTTCTCATTTGACCACTCTCTCTCTCTCTCCCTCTCTCTGTTTGAAACTCTCAGACACACATACCACTGTCACCATGCCCATCAATCGTTGTTGTGTCAGGTACCAAGATAGTTCAAAATGGGAGAGAGCCGTGAAGAGCAGGTTACTAGAGCAGAGACCAATTCCGAAAAAGTCACTTGCCTGTGGCGTGGGAGTTTTTGAATTCAGGAGGGAAGACGTGTAACAGAGTACAGTTTAAGAGTAACAGCTAGAGAGAGGTTAATCCTAGAGGCTAAATTGTTCCTTGCTTAAATCTGCTCATGCAGACCTCAGTGCTGTTTTTACAATGGGTCCCTATGGGAAGGTTTCTCAGGATGAGCTGTTATTCCTTAGTTTCTTACTCCTTATTGGGTTCACACTCATCATTGGATAGCGTACGTTGTTAGGTATGAAACGTAAGGTTTAGTTGAGCGGAATATGGCGTTAATTAATTTAATTCATAGAAAACAGCTATTTAACGGTTGGGCACGATCGCACATGTGCACTGTCTTGAAATTGGATATTTAGCTAATGTAAACATCACTATGCATGCTGGCGGCACTTTCCCACCTCTCCTACAGCTTGGCTGAAGTGGACTAGGAGCTGACAATTGATGTTACCATCTCTCTTTCTGTACCATCTTTGGTACAGTCTTATATAATTGCCAAAATTCCAAAGATACAGCAACAGATGGTAGCAGTACCACAAATTTATTGAGCCACCTCAAACCACACCATCCAGTGCAGAGCAAAGAATCCATCAAACACCAAGAGGCCAGCTCTGCTAGCAATACTGTAACTGTTATAAGAGACGTGCCGTGTGTGCAGTTATATTCTTTGAGCACTTCATATAAACTTTACATTAATTATTAAAATAAATGCTGTGTGCAGTTGTCCTGTTTAAACAAATAAAGACTGTTATTTAACATTATACGTGGTTTTGACTTAAACTCTGTATTTTAGATAAAATATTGAGATATATATTGTATATTGCCATTTAAAAAAAACAATTATGGAGATATTGTTTTTAGGCCATATGACCTAACCCTAATTCACACTTAGCATGTGAACATTTGACTTATCAGATGGAGCCCTGGATGCATGGGCCTTGATGATTGTAATGGGAGACATTAGTTATTTTAAATTGCCATGTTTATTATTTCAAGAGATGTTTTTGTTGAGTTTCGAATAAAATATTTTAAAGGGAGCAGGGGAAATTAAATTTCTTATAGTTATAATGTGTTCTGTAAATTAATGTTCTGTTTAATTGGTTGGATATCCATGTGCAGTTTGTGCAGTAATTTATTTCAATTTTCTTTTTTCAGTGGCAATAGGCTATTCAGTGTTTGGGGTCTCTGTTAGTAATGTACCTATTAAAGCAGAAAGAAATAGTAACTGTATAGTTAATATCCACACTTCAATATTTGTTTGTTTATCGCAAGTTATATCATCATTGCCATGTTTAAGCAATATCACACTAGAGGGAGTGCTGTTATACTGAATATCAGCATGGCTGTAATTCGGTCATAGGTACCAGGCCGCAGGCTGAGTGCCAAAGATAATACAACAGTTTTACCAACAAGGCTGTTTATCAAATAACGATAATTTGAGACAACAAATTATGCTTTTTTGTGGTTTATTCGGCTCCGCCTTCTGGATTCCATGTGCACGTGTTGTCAAGAAACAAACAGTTTCTTTAAGTGTAGCCTTTAAGTGTATTTTAAAAAGTAAAGTGTATTTCTTTTTATAACACACTTAAAGGCTAGTTAGGTATTCTCTTTCATACCTGACAGCAGGCTCGCCAGCTACTTTTTATTATACATGTAAAGGCTAGCTATACAGAAGCCAAGCGAGCCACTTTCAATCATAGCCTATTACCATCTAGCGAGCTACTTTTTAGCATATATGGATGGGCTAGATTTACAGAAGGCTATTGTTTATCATAATATAATATTATTGATAATAAATATGATTGTAATTAGGGCTGTGTGATATGATAATATATATAATGTGATGAAAGAAAAATGTCTATTGTTTCATATTATCATTTATTTTGTTGTGTCACAGTTGTAAACATTACATAGTGTACCTGTATTAACTAAATAGCCAAGATACTGTACACATACTGTATTTCAGCTAATGTATCTGGTAAGGTAATATATGGGTTAAGTAGGTTAATACTGTACAATACTGTATACGTAGTAATACATTGTAAACATACGGGCATATATGCAGTCGGACATTCCCCAAACGGACGTTGCCCGAACAGACGTTTTGCGGCGCATACCTGTTTTATGTTACATGCTTAATTGAAAAGTTGCACAAAGGTTCAAAATAAAAGGAGAAAAATAATCAAATGTAAGTACTTGTTATTGGTTGAGTATATAATTAAAAATTTGATCATAAATAGGCCTTTCCATGTGGTCATTTTATATAAATCATTTATTTATCGAATTTACAGAAAATGTGCTATATCGTGATATGTATCGTTATGAAATGACATATATTGGGATATTAGATTTTGGTCATATTGCACAGCCCTAATCGTAATACAGTAATACAAGGCTGGACAGCAAGAGTTAGCCATTTACTGTTCGGATTGCCTTGGAAAGAAACTGCCCCTGAGTCTGGTACACCTGGACATGATGCTCCGATACATTTTTCCAGATGGAAGCTGCTGAAAAAGGTCATGTGCTGGATGGCTAGAGTCTTTAATTATTGAGAGGGCTTTCGTTCGGCAGCGC